AGTTGAGCTTAGTGATATATAGATACATATTTTTGTATGTATGTATGTACACATGCGTTGAGCAAACGCACATTGCACAGCGACTATGCTTGGTGTACTTAATCAGTCTAAAGAAATTGTAGAATTATAAAAAAGATAGATGAAAGCAACATAAAAGAGCAGAGGAAACTAATGCACCACATGCAACTTGCAACATGCGATGAGTGCAGTTATTGCCACATATAATTTTAAAGTCATGTAATACCACAACTTCAACGCGCTCAACACGCTGTTGACCGACGTCAAATATCTGCACCACAAATACCAATAAAGCCGCGGGTAGTGGAGCGGTGGGGTTGCAGCGTGGCGTGACAATGAGGAAGCAACAGGCTGTTTGAGCATAGAAGGTTGTTTGCTGATTGCACTTGGATGCTGTGTTGCGGCATTTTTTATGACATCACAAAACTTGCTGACGGCTGAAAACTGCAGCTGCGTCCTCTGGTTCTGTTCCCTTGCGTTCCTGTCATTGAAATCACGCTTAGACTCGCCTTGCTTTGCACGTACCGAGCAATTGGTTAGGGCAGACACATTTGTGTAGAAAGAAAACGTTGCAAAAAAGCAGTTATATCAGTTAGAAACCAGACAGAACCGACCAACCAGTACCGGTACGACAGCAGTACAGCCATTGTGATACTCGATTTAACTCGTAGCGTCGCCTTTAGTCTTGCAAGTATGGCTGGAGTGGAGCCAGAAAGCCTTAACGCATAGAGTCTGAGGTAAGAGAAGATGTTGCAGCAGCGACAGCAGCAGCAGCAGCAGTGTCAGCTGTATTGGTGCGCAGTCATAGGCTTTTAACAGCTTCCACACTGGCTGTAGCTCTGGCTCTGGTTGCGACTGTGCTTTGCGCGCCAGCTGCTTACTTCCCGGCAGCAAATAGAAGCATTCAAAAGGCATTGCACTTTGGCTGCTGAAATAAAAAGGGTTCAGTGAACTTGAAAACGGCATTTGTGGCAAAAATGCTGAACTAACGCTAAGACGCTGACTGTATGAGCAAATGGCGTCGAGGCTATGCACTCAACTATTAACCGGAAGCTTTAGTGGCAATTTGTTCGGTCGATTGATTTTTCTTGGTGGTCTATTTGTCGGCAATGAGTATTTTAGACTGGGAAAGCATCTGTCATTATTTTGTTGACTTAGGAGGAAATAAATGAATTTTGCTAGTGAAAGTGGCAACCTTTCTGATGAATTTAGCTATTTTTGGGTGCATTTAAGTAGCAGCGAAGAGGCTTAACTATCCCAGGCATATATTGCCTCTCTTTCTACTTCACATATCCAAGGAGAGTCAATGCTTCGTTATAAGAAGGTTCTCTCTCTTCCCGTCAGAAAGTGCCATGATAAATTTCTTAATAAGAAACTATGCTCGGTCGGGATCTTAGATGTTTGTAGTGTTTCTTAAAGAGATCTTCGGTGTTAGGCCAATTAAGATGGAATGTTCTCCACCATTTTAGTTGCTTCACCTAAACTCTGAGGAGTACTAAGGCGCTTTTAACGACTGAGGTTATATTTGGCTGAGTACTTGTGCAGTTGATCTCGTGTTAATGATATCAGGATTGTATCAGAAGGAGCTTCACGAAGATTACAAATATGGACTTTGAAAAACGAACGAGTGGAACCACAACATCGCGACCGCGACTACTAAATCAACTCACAACTCCATTTAGTTAGTCTAATTCTATCCTCTCAAGGTTCGATTACAGTAGTTCCTTGATGGTGAGGATATGCTCTAGACATTCATGGAGAGAATGAGACCATCTTAATCTACGCCGATGGATTCGAAATGCTTTTGGGAACTGAAAATTTCCCTATCTTCTCCCCTACCGAATCCTGCTAGTATCTTCCAAGCGGAAGTTTCAGGGCAGGGAATGAAGTGTCTTTAACATTAGTGGAAGGCGCTAAGATCGCTGGCAAATAAATTTCCCAACCTCTTGATATGGGTTCCCGGTTCCCAGAAGAGAGTGACGATATGACCTAAATCAAGCAGAATCAATACCATGTTGGTTAGGAGCATTTCTAGCTATTGTGGTAGTTGCAAACAAAAAGGGAATAGACAAACAATTGCCGATTTTCTTTGTGAGTGCCCAGCAGGATTACCAAGATCTTTACGTTAGTGCATAAGTATGGCGCATTCAGCATAAATTATGCATTAGGCCTTATATCTCCTCGAGCGTCTTGGAGTTTTTACAACAGGACACGAACCAATGAGCTTCATCATTGACACATGCACAGCTAATCACGCGACTACTGGGGCAGAACAAGTCCACAAGGGTGTGTGAGTCTGTGGATAGGTAGATCCCAAGCGAACTCCGTGCTCGACGAGCCCACCAAGGAAATGACGAACAAAAACACATTCCGTGCTGAGATTAGCTTTTTTCCATTAAACATGTGGGCTTTAAACCCACTTAGAAATGTGTTTATGTGCGATAAAAAAGAAGAAAGAAGTTTTAGATTCAGTTGCAGTACCCGCAGAGCCTCAACCAAGCCAAAGGTGTCGGGCAAAAGCGCTGTAGTCGCGACAAAAAAATCAACGAGTTGCAACGTCTGTGCGATTCTGAGACTCTGTGACTCTGTGACTCTGCGGCAGCAATGCCATGTCGTGTGCAGTAGGAAATCCGCATTAAGCCAAGTTGCAGTAAAGTAGAAAGGTTCTTAGCATTCGCAATGGCTTCACTTGGTGGGTTCAAAGAACTTTGTTGGCCCACACAGTTATGCCATTTGTGGTATGCCATAGCGAATGATGCTTATAATTCTACAGAGATGTTGGTGCGACAATGTTTGCGCGTGTTGTCGTTGTTGTTGTGGTTGTGTTGCTACTTTTTTTCTAAGAAAAACATTCAACAAACATGCATAGATTTCCAAGTAGCTGCATCATGTAAGCTTATAAATATTTATTCAACGTACGAGTATATGTAACTATGTCGCGTCGTCTTAGTATTTGTTGCTGTCGCATCTTACATGCACTAATCTCAATGATCTTTTGCTTTGTGCTTAGTGTTGTGCGGTTGTTTTCTCATTCATTGGGTACCTTAAATTGCCAGTATGTGTCGCATTTGGCATGCCATAATAAGTTCGGCTGCTGTTTCGTACTCTCCTGCAACTTCATCTTCAACATATTCTTCGGCTTCTTCTTCTGGTTGTTCATATGCTGCGCACACCAGTCTCGTTTGCTTCCGCGTTTTTGTCCAATTTCGGTTTTTTCTCCTTTTTGCATGCGCAATTCTTGGCCGTTCCTACATCAGCCGACTGTCTGCTTCTGCTATACATGCATGCATTGCTCTTGGCTCAATGTCATGATCATTGTGCTCGCTGTTGGCTTGTTGTATGCACCTTTAAAAAAATTTTTTTACATGTGCAAATACATGCAAACATATTTACATGAAAACACACATGCCATAATTGTGTACCTCCAGTGATCGTCTGGTAATGCATGCAAAATACCTTATTTTAGTGTTGGCAAGACCTGAGCCATTGACCCCACGAAATGAGGTTAGGTTCAAGTTTGTCAAACAAATTTTAAGTTCTTCATGTGGGGCTGGAAATGACATAACTAAAAGCGATACATATATAAATAAGCAGATGTCGAATGATATTTGAATATGTGAGCATTTAATAAGCCGAATAAACCGTGGAATTTAGATTTTAGCTGAATTCTTAGTCTCGCAAAAAACTTTATTGCTAATAGAAAAGTCTTTGAAAGAAATGTCAAAATATTTTAAGAAGACCTATCTCTCTTACTCTCTCCCCCTTTTCATCTCTCTCTGACTCTTTATGGGTTTATGATTGGATAATCTGATTGCTTAAAGCACATATAAAATGTATATGCGAAATGGCTGAGAGCAATCAAGGAGAATGAAAAGAGAGTACAGAGCTTATAGTAGAATTTATTCCAAATGTACTACGCTGAAAAACCGGATACTCAAGTTGACAAATTAATTAAAAGGTGCGTGCTGAAGATCAATGAGCCGTACGGAGAAGAAAGGGAATCCATGTTGCCCCATAAGGGTTTGAAATACCTTTGAAATAGTCCCCTATTTCAGAGTATTTAAGCGAATATTCTCTGGTCTCCCTACGCCCAAGTTGGCCTAGATTTGAGACGTGTTAAGTTGTGTACCCACTTCAACACTGACTGTATATGAAAGTATTTTTAGTAGCAGTTTGTATGTATACCAATGCGTTCATTATTCGGAAAAATTTGCTTTGACGTATTTTGTCTCAAAAAGTCATCTGCGCTGCCGTTCTTCCTACGCCTCTGTTACCCGGGATCTAAATGAGGGATAGTCTGCTGCATTGACCTTCTGGAGAGACCTACGATAGCTCTGTACGCTTCAATAGTTTATTGTGATCAAGTTCAGAGCTTGCTATCTTACTAAAATTTAAGGTGTTGATGTCTCTTTATGATTATTTGGACTATGCTGTTTGCTAGCAGTTCTGCGGCATAGGTACCCAAGATGTTACCTGCGGTAAGGTATGCTATTTGTATGAACAACTAAAATCAAACCCAATCGGATGTTTAAAACGAAATTGCATGGATTTATATTTGGTTGAGGATTGTGAAAACCCGATCTGAAGAAAATTTTGTGGTTACAACAACAACAAAACGTCAATTGGAGCTTGATTTTGTAAGGTGAACATACTATATGTATATGCTAAAGGCTCTCATCCCCTCGTCAAAACTAAAAGGCAAAGAGTCATAAACTTTTTCAATGCCAACATCTTGAAAACGCCTAGAAACATTTCAAGCGGTTTATCATTCTCCCTGCACTGGCGAGTAAAGCGTCACTTTTCTCTCCCTCGCTCCGCCTCCCGCTCTCTTCTTGATTGGAAATTAACATAGATAGAACAGAAAAAAATTACTGAACTACCCTTTCCATCTAACGTAAGGAAGTTAAAAGACTGGAAAGTCATTTTCAATATTGTGGAAGGTTGCTCTGTTTAAGAAAAAATTAAAAAATGTCATTTTAATTTTTCCAATTTTTATTTGAGCTAAATTACATAAGAAAAATTATGCTACTCATGCCAAATTGTCACGCCAAAATTCATTTCTAAATTGATTTATGAACAACTGCCATCAGCAACGGGTTCAATTTTGCAATCACTTTGGTCGGTAACAGTTAATTCACTTAAAGATACATCATTTTGAGTCAAAATATTTTCAGCTTTAGCAATCAGATCGGCCGACGGTTGACGTTCGCGGGTCAAAATCCAAACAGTGACTAAAGAAAATTAAATAACAAAATTCATTTAGTAAATAAGGAGTATTAAATTCAATAGAAGTTCACTCACCACTGTGGGCATCATCTTGGCTTGGCTGACAGGAGTAGACAACACTGTAGCTGGTGTAATCGGTAGAGAGCACCCAATAGTTGGAGGTGGCATTGAAAGAAGTGCTGACGGGGAAGGTCACCTTCAATTTAGCATTCTCAACTGGAACGGCATAACCAACAATGTCGGTGATCTTTTTGGTTCTAAATCGAAAAAGAACATAAGAAAAGGTTTTATTTATATAAAAATATATAAATGAATATTTAAAAAAAAATACAAAAAAATATAAATATAAAATTATATAAAAAAAAATGTGTACATACATAATGAAAATTTGTGAACAGTTCAACGCTCTCAATTCACTTACTTTGTATCAATCATGCTATTCACCACACCAACGTCACCGTCCTCCTTCAGGGTATATTCAGCTGTGATGCATTTGCCACCGGTTTCGAAGAAAACAGGATATTTAGCATATTCATACCAGGTGCCCAAATACTGTAGTGCAAACGAAAGCAATTAATATTTGATTAGCAATTCTTAACTCTTTCTATAACAATAACAATAACATGCATTTACTACTACTTACCGGTTCCACTTTGAAATCGCACTGAACTTGCACATTACTTGGGCAAGCGCCGGTGAATTGCACCTGAGCTTGTGCGATGCCGAAGAGCGCCAAGGCGATAATAGCAAGAATCGTTCTGAAATTATACATGTATTTATATATAATATATTTTCTTTCATAATTTTATCAATGAAATTGTCTCTGCACTTACTTTTGCATATTGATAAGTTAGCTGTATTGTTTACTCGTTGAAACTGATATTTTGCTTGTGCTCGTACTCGCCCTTTTATAGTAGCGATTGATTTGATTTTCATCGTCCTGTAGTTTTTGTTATCGGTAAGTACGTTTAGTGTTCTGGTGCAGTTGTAGTGGCACAGTGGCGTGAAATTGAACTGTGATGAGGGTATAACGATTTTTTTTTATATAAAATTTAGATTGATTTTATAAATGATATTTCGTGTAATTATTTTTATGCATTTGTTTTTTAAATTAAAAATTATTGTTTTTATTTATTTCGTATTCTTCTTATTTAATTTTTCTTCAAATATTACGTAACTTATTTAATATTAATTTATTTAATTTTATTTTAATCGATTTTATATTATTTTAGTTTTTGTTATTTGATTTTAATTTAAATTTATTTTACTTCATTCTATTTTATTTTACTATGCTAAATTAAATTTAATTAAATTAAATTATATTTCTTAAAGTAGTTTCATTTTATTTAATGAATTTCTTTTATTCAATAATATTATACATCATTTTATTTTAATTCAAGTTATACTACTTTATTTTATTTTCTTTAGCTTTGGTTTTTTATTTAAATTAACTGAATTTATTTTAAATTTTATTTTATTATCATTTTTATATTATTTTATACTTTTTTGATTTATTTTATATTTTTATATTTAATTCAATTTAATGTCTATTTAATTCTATTGATTTGGATTTATGATTCTTTATTTTATTCGACTTAATTTCTTTTTATTTTTTTAACATTATTAAACAATATTTTATTTTTTTTTTGAATTTGTACTACTATATTTTATTTTCTTTAACTTCGTTTTTAGTTTAATTTAATTTAATTTTTTTTAATATATTTTTTTATTTGAACCCATTTTTATTTGCTTAAGTTTCCATTTCATTTTATCTGTTTTTCACTTCATTTTATTTTAGTTTTTAAATTTCTTTTATTTTATTTTATTTCGTTTTTGTAATTTTATTTTATTCAATTTTTCCGATATTTTATTTAATGTTACTAAATATATTATAATTTTGTCTTTGTTTGTTTTATCGTGTTTTATCTTATTCTATTTTATTTTATATTATTTTGTTTAATTTTATTTCACAATATTAAATATTATTTTACTTAATTTATTTTATTGTGCCCTATTTTATTTTATTTCATTTGGTTGCATTAATTTTCATTTTGTTTTTCATTTTATTATATTTTACCTTATTTTATTGTATGTGATTTTTTTTATTTAATTTTAGTTTACTTTTTTTATTTTACCTACTTTATTTTCTCTTATATCTTATTTTATTTTATTTTATTTTATTTTATTTTATTTTAATTTATTTTATTTTATTTTATTTTATTTTATTTTATTTTATTTTATTTTATTTTATTTTNTTTTTTTTTTTTATTTTTTTTTTTTTTTTTATCTTATCTTATTTGATTTTATGCGAAAGGAAGTTATTTTAATGTTTTTAGTTTTATATACTTTATTCCGGTACATTTATTTATTTATTAACCATTTTCACTTAATTCAGTTTTGATTTTTATTCTTCATTTAATTTCATTTTACTTTATTTAGTTTTTTATGAATTTTCTCTCACACTTCCACTAGTTTAAGCCCACTGTACAGCCCCTTATCTCCCTTATATTTAACATATCTTCCACCCAAATCTCCCATATCTGAAGCTTCACATTTTGCTGGTTAATTATATTTAACTAATTATGCGTTTGTACTTTTGTTGTTGGTAATTATTTGTTTTGGTTGCACCACAAAAGTTTTCTTGATTACGAACTAATGGGAAAGATGTGGTAGAAAACAGTTGTTTTCTTATCAGTGTTTACAAAAATCGATATGCAAAAATAATTAACTTTTTCTCGAAGATGCTGGGAACAGCGCGTGCATGCATACAAACGTGATAAAATTTCACAATAAAAAAATATTTGATACTTTAAGAGCAATAGATTTCAAATCTATTATAAATAAAATAGTTTTTTGTTCAATGATACTCGATTTTATGGTAAATTAGATACAATAATAACAATAAGATTTTTTATTGTTTTAAACCGAATTTTTATTTTTAATTATTGAAATTCATTTTAAAATTAAATTTAGTATTTATTCTTCCTGAAAAGACGTAGTTTTGGATTTTCACTAAAAATTTAAATTTTTTTTCTCTTCTTCTTATAGAAGAAGCACTCTTAGAACTGGATGCCGCCGCCGAAGCGTCCGACTCTTCAGCCACGTCGAAAACGAGCGTTGAACCTACCGTGCGGATAAAGTGTATGAGCGGTTCCATGTTGATAACCATCAAAGATGCACCGTTAAACCATGAAACCGGTCTCTTTAGTGGCATGATTTATCCAAAGGGACTGTCGAAGAATTCAACATGTCTCACTGAGTACAGGTAAGCGGGGGTGGTTGTTTTATGCATAAAAAATCACACATGAAATTAAATATTATTTTTAAAAATGTATTATACATTGAAAAAAAATAAAAAAATAAGAGTAAGTAAATTTTGTTTTTTTTTTTTCTTTCCTACAGGGATCACGAAGGTCCATTGAGATATAAGCTGCCGCTCCGCAGCTGCAATACGATGCCACAGGAAACGGTGAGTGAAATTAGAAAATTAAATTGAATTATTGAAAATATTAACTGAACTTTTTAAACTATGAAGTAAAGTATTAAAAAAATAATAATAACAACAGTTTATTGCTGAGACAGTTCTGATGAAGAAATCAAAAAAAAAATCTTTTTTAGCTTAATTTCCTTAAACTATACATTTAAAAACAATATTTAATATTGATATATGAAAAAAAAATTTCAAAAAATTAACTGAAGTTGTTCAACGTTTTGCATACCTATTAAAACAAGTTTTTTTAAGAAAATTTTTAGTTTTTTTTTATTCAAAGTTCTGATCAAAAGTCAAGTGCACATCCAGGTACGTAAATTACATAATAATTATAAAACACAGTAATTGTTTTGTCGAATTTTATCTCACATAAATATCTTATCTTCATCGCGTTGCAAATGTTTTTTAATTTTTTTTTTAATTTTCGATTACAATTTTCTATTTTTTTTTAATATAAAAAAAGTAGTTTTCTGTTATCACTGCTTGAACAAACCAGATGTATTCGTTCTATTACTTATTTGCATTGTCGAGTGGGAGGCAAAAAATAAATTGATAAAAATCAAAATATTTTCATATGACTTTCTAGTCAAAATTTATATTTATTTCTATGTATATATATTTTTTCACATGTATATATATATTATATATGAAGCTTTTTCGTAGAAAGTTACTAGGTCTAGTGATTATTTTCTCTAGTATCCGCTGATAGTGAGCCTGGAGTACTGGGACGTTGACTCATGAGTGAGATAAGCAAGACAAAAATTCTGCTTCATAATGATGATGTTGAATTTTTCATTGATTATTAGCTTAACCTTCGCAAAGAATGAGAACTACATAATAATTATGAATATATTCATATTATTTTTATCATGTCTTATATGAAGAGCTCTTTATTCTCGACATCCCATTGAACTTTAAGTGCGTTAAACACCCAGCAAAATTGTTTGAGAAAGGAAGCCAGTAATCACCTAACTTTGCCGTAAAATTAGTCACAACTGACTTTGTTTAATTCAAGGAATTTACTCATACATATACGAAACAAAGAGACAAATATTCAGGGTAACAACTGGAAACTGAGAGAAAATTAAGACACTCGGTTGCAACAGTATAGACACTCTAACTAACACCCGACTAGGATGAACAACAAATGATGGGAGCCGACGGCTTATTCGCCGGGCTATACAAATATAAAGGATTGAGAAAGCGCTCGCTTTATCGACTTAGCAGAATGTGGTCGGAAGAAAGCATACCTTTTGATAAGAGCCCCAATGTAATCTGCTTAAACTTTAATCGAAATCGATTATCGCTGAATAAGTTTCAACATTGCACTTGAGGCTTAATGTGTCGTCCAATGTGGGATGTAATTACGTGTGTACTCTTGCGTCCTCTTTAATTATTCAGGAGCCTTGTCTCTTGGCTTAAACGGGGGGATTCCAGTTAAGTCTCTCCGACGCACCCTGGTTCTCTAAGGTATTTTGCAAGTGTTTGTTAACCAATGGAGCATTTGGGAGCAGGCGTCGGTCTACAGGCGAACGTCTAGCCGTACAAATGTTTTCAAAATATGTATAAACCGCTTTTGAAGGCCAATATTGTCGGCGGAGTCCTTGTGAAAACTTCTAAAGCGGCAAAAAAATAACCGCAAACTCTTGGATTTGTGGTGGCGAAGAGACTCCGTTATGTAGGTTTGGATGAATGCGAGATATTCACAAAGAAACTAAAAGCGAAGTTCTTCAGCATATCGCAGATCAACGTCACGCAACCAACGGATAATAAGGACGATGACATCAACGATGCTATTTATAAGCGACTAGAAAGCATTCATAGTGCGATTCGGCGATATCAAAGCCAAGATTGACAGAGCAGGCTTATAAGGCCTAAATATGATCGTCTTTATAACCAGGGCCCGACCAAAGAAAATTTATCAAGCTGTCTGCTGTCTGTATTGAAAGCTCCTGAATTAAGTTGAACATGCTGTGATAGGCAAATGACAGTGTTTCAGACGTATATGCTACAGCCTACCATGTAAAACAAGGAAGTTTCAACCTTAAAATGCTGAAATAATCCAACCTGTGAGTACTCAATATACCGATATAAGTGAATAGTTGGACCGAATTTTGAGCTTACCACATAGAGCTGCAAACGAAACTATTGGCTTCCGATAAAGAAGAGCTAGTAAGTTGCTATCGGCCGCAACACACGCTGTATGGGAGAAACACTGAGAGTCGCTTTTTACAAACGGGATAAAAATCGGATCAAATTGGGCCACCATTGAAGAAGTAATTGGCACACTACCGTCTTGGCTCTCACGCCATAACTTTGAAATCCTAGATAATTTTGTATTTTCTGCAACCAACAACAATGTTAGCCTTGAAATTCAATGCAGAATCATTCTCGCCTAAATGAACTAAAATGAACTAAAAGGAAAATTGAAACGTAAAGTCCTCTTTCGACGAACGAAGGCTAAGCTCACATGCTTTTCGGCCTGGTTTGGAGCCTCTGGCGGTGTCTGGTAACGTCAGAGTTATTGAGAGAAAAGTTTAATAAAAGATTTTTTGGTATTTTGCGCGCTGGCAACTACGAATGCCGGATGATATTGGAATGAAGAATGAGATAAACAGTAATATTGATATAGTCCGGCTATAGCGTCTACTCAGACTTGGCCATGTTGTCCGAATGAATGAAAATATTTCAGTTTTAAAGGAATTCGTTGCTGCACCTGCTGCTGGAAGCAGCAAAATAAAAAAAAAAAAATACCAAAAAAAAAAATAAAAAAATAAAAAAAAAATAATTGTCCTGCATAAGTGTTGCCTACGCCATCTCACTAGCAGCAGAGGATGGGGAAAACGTAGTTAAAAATTTTCCTTTGCGCAAGATAAGCTTTTTGGTATTACAATAATATGAGTTCATATGTCGAATATTCTCCATAAAATTATTTTTCAACCTTAAATTTCTCATCAAAAGACATGCGAACTCGAGCATAAAATTATGATTAAATTTACAAACAAATTTATGAATTTATATTCCATATAGTTAGCGGAGGCCTCTGTGGCTACCGTACTATTACGTAATTACCGTTATATTCTATGCAACTTAACAACCACCTCAGCGTCAGTGTCAGTGACTTTGACCTTCGTTAGTTAAACTTGAACTCGCCGTCTGCTTACACACAAAGAGAGTTCAAAGAATATCAAAAGCGTGACATTACATTGAAAAAAAAGGGGGAAATAATTAAAACTTTCACACACTAATTGTTATTGTATGAACTTGACTTTTATAGAGGAGCAGAGATGCATTCGTAAATTATTATATCTCTAATCAGAGTTTGTAGCATCTCTTCCTTGGCTATTGTTGCTGCATGTTTACCGTAATTAAATTGTAATTAAAGTAAGCATGCGAAAAAATATGAAAATGTGTTTGTTTACCATATAGAAACGGTGATAACACCAACAAATAGTAAAGCAGAAAAAAAACAGTGTATAAAACTAACAACAATTGAAAACAACATTGTGGGCATAGAAAATCTAAAAAATATCTGTAGGTGAAAATCAGAAGCCATGAACTACCACATCGAGTGTCAGCAGCACCTTCGTATGCGCATACGCCGCAGTCGCGCCAACCCATTGACTCGTCGAAACTTTGACTTGATGCTGAAAAGGAAGTCAACTTGACTTGGGTGATAATGCATAGGCATGGCCTTTGATGTACTCGTAAAACAGCGTGCAAAATTTAATTACGTTCCATTTAAAAAAAAAAAAAAAAACAAATTAATACTGAGTCTTGAGCGTGGAGTTCAAAAAGAGAAGAAGAGAGGTGGCAGCAATGTAGCTGTGGGGCAGTTGATAGGTGATGAGCTATTAGGCGTTCGTTTGGCTTAAATTTTTATTATGCGTTGGCTGCGTTGGTAAAAATATTTTTATGTCTTGCCTGATAATAATTTTAAATATTTTTGTGGAATTTTATTATTATTTTATTTATGATATTCTCAACAGCAGAGTCGTTATATTTTTATATTTTTCAGCGCCGTATTTTATCGTAGAAATGAGAGTGAGGGATAGCAGCTTATCATTTTTGGTCCCCGACTTTGTACCAATAACAATTTATTAGACTCATAGGTTCTTTATTTTGCCATAGCATAAGTTTTCCGCATATTAACCTAGCAAAAAAACAAATCTGATTTCCGTATATCAAGCAAGTCGAAAATAAGCATTTCTGGTTCACATAATTTTCTCGAATAAATCGGTCCCTAGTTCACTTTTCATTTCTGTTAATTTAGACCGAATTGCTGGTGAATAAAAAATTTGATTGCAATCAAGTTTTAGACTCGGAACGCAAATTTCAATTTTAAGAGATCTAAAAACAACTGTTTAGACAGTGATTTATATAGATTAGATGTTGCCTTCGATTCCACTCACAAGCGATTTAGGTTAAGGTTTCTAAGTTATTTGTTTTACTATAGCTTTCAAATTATTATTTTAAAATGCATTAAAAAGAAAGATAACATTTCCCAATATCAACCTTGGCTAGGAAGTTTCTATGCTCCAAATTACAAGAAAATCGATATATTATTTTTCCGAATAGATTAGTTACGGGTTCTCTTCCAGAAAGATTTGCATATATTAAACTTGGCAAAGTGCGAACTTCATATATCCCACACATTAAGCTAAACCGGACCATCGAATAGATCCTTGCTCTATTTCCTGTAATGTAAGATATTCCTCTTGTTTATTTGGACTAAATGTATCTCAGGTCCACATCTCGGAACAGTCTACGTCTATGTCATCGTTCTTCTTTCTTATCGGATGCCTACGTTATAGAAGCTAGCAGCTGAGTTTCAAATCCCACAACTAGTGACTTAGATTATGGGTTGACCTATCAGTCATTGAAGACGCAGACTCTTACGTATAGATATTAGACCTCTTAATATCACTCTTTAAAAAGAGTAGTGGGTAGTTCATATTTTACATAAGCAAAGTGATATT